GTGGAGTAGGAGCTCCGGTGCCCGCCCTGGGGGCGCGTCCCCAGGCACTCCCGCGTTGAGGGTTTGTCTGGCTGGCTCTGACTGAGCAGTCTCGAGCGTCCGTGGGGGTGCGAAGGGGCCCGGGAGACGGGAAATTCTGCTTTGCTCTTAAGGAGCCGGCGTGCGGGGAACGTGGAGCTGTGGGGGATTTCCCACCGCTGGGTGCACCAGGAACGGGGCTCGCCCTCGGTGAGCCGGGGAGTGCGGGAGAGCTCCGGAGGATGGGGACAGTGGCGTGCTCAGGCCTGCTGTTGTTTCCTGTGTGCTGCCCGCGGGGCCGGATCCCGCAGGGGCGGTGGGGAGCGGCCACGTGGGGGATGGCCGGGGGCTTCCCGGGCTCGGTGTCCACCTGCTGGGGTGGCGGGAAGGGGATGGGCCACGGGGGAAGTCGAATTGGGCACCAGTCTTCCTACAGCGCAACGGAGGGCTGGCAAATTGTTACAGTGAGCATCATTGACATTTGTGCTGAAAGCTAAGCACATAATAGCTACTTCATTTTTTTCGTATATGCTGTTTTAAATAAAATCTCGTTCTCAAATCGTATCAATATCTACAAGTGGTATTGAGTTAAACTCAGTTGAGAGCTCCTTATTTTAAATGCTTCAGAAATAATGAAATGTCTTGAATGCTTTACTGAAAATGGTTTACCAGTATCTTCAGCCAAAACTTCCCAAAGAGGGAAGCAGGAGGGCTCAGTAGATTACATTTTCTTTCTTTTTCTTTTTTGTTTGTTTTTGTTCTAGGGTGGGGGGTTTTTGTAGTGTTTTTGGAGCATGTTCTTTTTTATTTTTGGAAGAGAGATACTAAAGGCTGTATAAAGATTGATGTTGTCTACATTTAAAAATGCTATGTTTGCTTATGCTTTTAATAGAGAATTTCCAAATCTATTGCTTATGTTATCTCAAGTAAATACACCAATACCTGTTAGGTGTCCTTATGTTATTTTTTTAATTAACATTAAGAATAATTGTTTGAGATTCTGCAAGGCTGTTCTTGTTGGGGGGAAGTATTGGGATTACTTGTGATATGGATGAGTACCGAATGGAGCACTTGGAAAGCTGCTGTATGCTGTAGTCATTGGTGCTAGGAGTTGACAATCGTATTTAGCTGTGTAGTGAAGCTTACAGGCCTTAATGTCTGTACAGCTTTGCTGTAAATGACTCTCAGGGCGACAAGAGCTCATGGATGCGTTTCCCAGAATTTCGTGTGTTAGGTTTAGACAATGTCAAAATGATGATAAAGTGAGATACCATATGGAAGTTGTCTGTTGGTGTCACAGGTCACCATAGTGTCACCTGGTTCAGCACATTCAGTTTGTGAATTTTACACACAGCCTTGCCTAAAATAGTCTGTTCTTGCCACTTCTTTAGCTTCCCCTTTTTCTTCCATTGATTAATCCTCAGCAGGAGGTAGGTAGGCATTACTGGAAGTTTTCATCTCCCTACCTTCCTCTCAGGCTTAAGCCCCTAAGTCATCCAGTGGAGAGCCATTTGTAACATCCTGTTTCTGATGCTCCCTGCTGATTTGCAGGAGCAAGCTGTGTGGTTTAACCCCCACTGGCAGCCAAGTACAACTCAGCCACTTGCTCACTTCCCCATGCCCTGGTAGAGTAAGTAAAAATTGTGGGATGAGATAACCATTTAAAATTGAAATGAAGTAAAGTATATGATAACAGTAATAAAACAGAAAACACAAGAAAATCAAATGATGCCCAATACAATTGCTTACCACCTGCAGGCCAGTACCCAGCCCATCCAGAAACAGCAGTTGGCCCTCCTGCTGGGTAACTCCTGCAGTTTATATACTGGGCATGATGTTCTCTGGTGTGGCATATCCCTTTGCCTAGTTTGGGTCAGCTGTCCTGGCCATGTACCCTCCCAACTTCTTGTGCACCTGCTTGCTGGCAGCACATGAGAAGTTGAAAAGACCTTGACTTAATGTAAGCACTGCTCAGCAACAACTAAAACACCAACTAACCATGCACATTATCCTCTCACTGAATCCAAAACTCAGCACTCTGCCAGCTACTAAGAAAGAAAAAATAATTCTGTCTTATCTGAAACAAGGACACCCGCCTTTGGACAAGAGCCTTCATGTGGTCTTACAGTTGGTTCTTCAAGCTTCTTGGGCTCATAGAACTGCTGGCATTTGAGGATAAGAAAAGTGACTCATTAAACTAAAATGGCCTTTTAAGAAGATGTAGGAAAAGTGTTGACATTTGTTGAAGATAAGCCTTCTTATTAACTACAGGGTGAGAGTATTGTGGATGTGTAGACAAAACCTAAACTATTATGAAGTAGGTAATTTGCATTCTGCCAATTAACTTGCCCTGTAGTTAAATGGAGTGCAGTCATTGAAGAACAAAGAGCTGATCCTTCTATTTTAGTTAAAGCCTGTGGATTAAATAAAAGATAATCTTCCCTCATAATTGGCATTCCAGAAGGGGAATCTTGCTTTAGGTGACTACCTTTTCAGTAACTCCAAAACCCAGTGGACACCTTCACCTCTTTGACAGCTCCATCTGCTCTATAAGTCTTATCAACCCAATCATGCTTTTACAGTGAAAAGCAGATGGGACTGTCAGCTGGTTGTTGGTATTTTTTTCTTGTTCAGGTTCTTTATTAAGATTCTTTACCAGGGCTTCAAAATTACATTCAAAATTGATAGTTCTGTATTGTTCTGTAGTGAAACTGTGATAATTGCTGGTAATGATTGTTTCATATCTTGATAAAGCAGTGTGTAACAATAGAGACGTTCCCCTTCAGATACAGGTGATGATGTAAATTGATAGTACTCAGTTGCTTTGCAACTGCAAGGGTTGTACACTTTTTGTTTTGGAAAATTGTAGGCAAGCAGATCAGTAATGTACTGCATGCACAAAGGAAACATTCCAATCTGGTGATTAATTCTAAAAGCCCAGTGTGTTTTCTGCTATGGTTTTTTAAGTAGCTTAACGTGTCTCTCTCATTTTAGAATGGAAAGAGTTTCTTGGTGTTGAATGAACAGAGATTTGCAAAAGAGATTCTTCCCAAATACTTCAAGCATAACAACATGGCAAGCTTTGTCAGACAGTTAAACATGTGTAAGTTCCTGGATTTTTGCATTCTATCACAATTCTAAATCCTTTACATAAAAGTTAAGTTATAACTTTGGGCAGTGGCCTTGTGTTCTCTGCAACTAGGGTACTGTCTTACCCTCAAAACTGGTAACAGGATAGCTGGGACAGCATACTTTGAATTTCTTAATGTGGGTTTTGAGGTTTTTCTTTTATTTTTTTAAAGATGGCTTCCGTAAAGTTGTCCATGTTGATTCTGGAATTGTCAAACTGGAGCGAGATGGTCCTGTAGAGTTTCGTCATGCGTATTTTAGGCAGGGCCGGGAGGACTTGCTGGAACACATTAAAAGGAAGGTTAGTGAAAATTCAGTATGTGGAAAACCTGTACTATTAAGTATTGATGAATCGCTGAGTTCATGTAAAGTTTAACTGCAGGATTGTGAGTGGAAATAAGTTCAGAGTTTATGGAAACAAACTGCCCTGCTTTCATTTACATCTTGAGCTTGTTTAAATATATTTTGGGGAATTTGACAAGGCTTTTTTATCTACTTTGCTGTCATTATAGTAAAATTTCACAAGTGGCAAAAAAGCATGAGTTATATAATGTGACAATTTGAAAATGAGTATTAGAAGTGTGGAGCATGTTTTGATTTTACCATCAGCAATATAAGAAACTGCTCATTTATGTAGGTTGTTTCAGAACAAAGCTATGTAAGCATTAGCCTTTACACCCAGGAGAACGGGGCAAACCTATAAACACATTCATTATGTTTCTGAAGTGTGCTCTGCTGGTATTGAGTCAAGTGGATATAGTTGGCAAATAGAAATATGGCAAATTAAACTGGATGTCATGGTTAACCCCAGCTAGTAACTCAGCCTCACACACAGCTGCTTGCTCACTCCTCCCATGTCAGGATGTGCAAATGAACCGGGAGAGTAAAAGTGAGAAGATTCATGGGTTGACATGAAGGCAGTTTAATAAGTAAAGCAAAAGCTACACACACAAGCCAAACCAGGAATACCACTCCCGATGGGCAGGCAGGTGTTCAGCCATCCCCAGGAAAACAGGGCCCCATCACATGTAATGGTGACTTGGGAAAGCAAATGCCATCTTTCTGAACATCCCCCACCCACTTCCTTATTTTTCCCCCAGTTCTATATGCTAAGCATGATACAGTACAGTATGGAATGCTCCTTTGGTCACGTGGGGATAACTGGCCCAGCTGTGTGTGTGTGTGCCCTCTCAATTTTTTGTGCAGCCTCAGACAACTGGCTGGTGGAGTGAGGTGAGAAGCAGAAAAGCCCTTGACTCCATGTGTAAGTGCTGCTCAGCAGTAACAAAAACATCTCTGAATTGCCAGCACTGCACTGCAGCACAACTGCACAAGTCCAAAGCACAGCCCTGTATTTGCTTCTATGAAGAAAATAGCCCCACATCAGCCAAAACCAGCACAGTGATACACTTGTTATCACCAGGTTATTGTGATGCAGTTATGATGAAGTAGAGTACTTGGGAAAATGCCTGAAGAGTCTGGGTGTACACAAATGTTTGTAACAACTAAAGCTAATGCGCTGGTGATATCTATTGTATTTTTTGGTTTTGGGGTTTTTAGGATGGTATACATCTATATGTATTTTTGGTTTTGGGGTTTTTTGGATTCTTAGTTTATTATTAAATTAAGTGCATGTTTTGTCAACATTAGTAAGAAAATATACTTGATCTCCAAAAGAGCATAATAGTTAAGCATGAGTTAAGGGAAGTGTTTTTTCTGGATTCTAATTTTTTAAAGGTTTCTTCTTCGAGACCTGAAGAAAACAAGATACGTCAGGAAGATCTCTCTAAAATAATATGCAGTGCTCAAAAGGTGCAAATTAAACAAACAACTATTGAATCTCAGTTGACTCTTTTGAAGAGGTAAGTTGCTTCATCAGTATCTGATCCTTAATGCTGAGTAATTGTGGTACTCAAAACCAGACCAAGACGTAATTCTAGGTGTCTCTTGATTTCTGGTTGCCTGATGTCAATTATTGCTTTAGGAACATAAATTTCTATTAAAAAGTTGCTTTAAAATTGAATTTTTTGGTATTATTAAAAGTAATAGGCAATGTTGGTGTTTGCAGAACTGTCTAGTAGTAGGCAATTAAATAAATAACACCTTTAATAATAGTTCTATATAGATGCTGAGTCTGAATATCAGTTCTTAGTATAAATTATGCTGGTTTTTGCCATCAGGTTTGAAAGAGTTACTGTATTTGGTTTGAGGCAGAGTTTGGTTTGTGTAGCTTACATATAATACTTTTGTAGGACAATTAATGTATTTGCTCATTGTTTTCTATTTTCCTGTTGTTTTTGTCCTCATTCCCTCACTGTTTAAACTTGTAAAAGAGTTAATAGCTCTGAAAGTGTGTTTAGAAATCTAATTTAGAAATTCATTAGTTACCTCATTGACAGAGAAACAATTGAAAACACAAATGTAAATAGTTTTTTAGAATTTCATTACTCCCTGCTTAGAAATTATGGTTTATTCTCAACAGTGAGAGAGATGTGTGTCACAAATTACTTAATCCTTTGGAATTTGTAGATACAGAGAATATATATAAGCATAAGGTCATTCACTGTAAGTCACATCACCTCAACAGAAACTCTGTTAGTTTCTATTTCTTTTAGTAGAACGTCTCATGACAGTGTACCTCTGTGGTACTGAGGTCACTGATTAGTTCAGGTTTTAATAAGTAAATTCTCTCATTTCTGGACTTCAGTTGTAGTGACTTGGGTGGTAGAATATTCAGAGGCAAACTTCTTTTGCTTAGGCATAGTCTTTGTTAGAATCTGGCTAGTCTAGAGTAAAAATCATATTTGCCCTTCTGAAATCCTAGATGAATTTGGTTTGAAAGGAATCTCAGAAGGCCATCAAGTCCAAACTGCTGCCCAGAGCAGGGCTGGCTTTGACTGAAATGACAGCCAGTTGCTAACGAGCTGACAGTTTGTAGAGATGAGAACATAGTGGTTGGTCTTTGACATCCATATTGTTATCCCATCAGTTTAAAGTGATTGAGGTAGAAACTAGAGCTAAATCAGAAGACCTGGTCCTACAAAACCTGTTGATAAAGCTAGTGAAAAAGTTGAGAAAGTTCAGAATCCCTGACTTCTGCTGTTAATTTTGTGATGGAACCATACTCTTAATTTGTATGTTGAATATAGGAGCAGTTTGAGGAGCGAGTAATAATATCCTGCATCACATTGCATATAAGCTGCTATTTCTGAAAACTTTAAGATTTCCTAAAAACCCAAACACCAGTGGAGTTTGCTTGTTTGTGTTGAAAATTGAGCTACAAAAAAGAGGAGGGTGGTATGTTGTCTGCCCATATTTATTGAAGCTTTTGGTGCTCATAACCTGCCTCTTAATATGGCATACACGGTTGGAAAAAAGGCTTGTGGTTTCAATAGGATAGGTTGTACACTGTCTGAGTAGCTGGAGTCCTGTGAGTACTGGAAGAACCAAGGTTTCCAAAATGGCAGCATTTCATGAAAATTGCTAACTCTGACTTGGTCCTGTTATTTTTTTATCACCTAACATGCCCATTTACTGGAGCTAATAGTGGTAACTGTTAAATGCTGATAGTTAATTTTTAAATGATGAATGTATGAGTAATGATTATTGCCAAATTTGAGGATTTTATTTTTCTTCCTTTAAAGCAGATGGAAATTCCTTGCAGGCTATTCGTTGTGTTTTGGTCTCTGTTTCATAGTTACTTTCCAAGGCTGCTTGATGCCCGTGTGACACTCCCACACCAACCCTAATCTAGAGACACATTTCAGAGTTTTAATGAAGCCAACTGATCTTTAACAAAAATTAATAACTAGTTTTAGTGTGACTTTTAAATCATCATTTTTTAACAGAGAGAATGAATCCCTTTGGAGGGAAGTGTCAGAACTGAGAGCAAAACACTTGCAACAGCAGCAAGTTATTCGAAAGGTAAGGCTTCATTCAAGTGTCGTGTTGCTTGAGTGCTTCTGAAGTAGGAATGCTTTGCCATGTTACTTGCTTTGCCCTCACTCAACTTTTTATAATGTCAAATCTCTCTTCAACAGAAAAAAGTTTAGGGTGGTATATGATGGACAAACCCTAGTGATACAAACCTTCAGGGTATTTTATTGCATAAGTAGAAAACAAGGCTAAAGTCTTATAAACATTTTCAAAGGAAAAGGCTCAAGAACATCTACATCAGTCATTAAGTTACACTTAATATGGTCCATCCATTTTTTATTACTCTGGGAATCAGATATCTAATTTCCTGTGTCAATGATCTCAGGAGAAACTTTCTCACTGCAAGAATTACAAGATTCTGTACTGGAAGTTCAGTGCTGCCCCCCTTAATGGACCCACTGACTGTATATTCCTAATGTTACCAGAGGAATAGATAATTGAGTGGAACCTATTGATAATATATTAATTAACTTAGATTATTTAACAGTTAGATTTATGATCTACCAAAACTCATAAATGCATAGAGTTTATAGACCTATTTTTTTGACATATGAGAAGGGGCATCACTTCAAGTAGCCTTGTAGCAGACACTTACTGATTTTTTTTTCCCAGTTTCTTCAAGCCAGATACATACATTAAAGTCTTAGAATTAAAACATAAGAGAAGGAAGGCTAACATTTCAAAAGGAAAGACAGTTGATGAATACTGTTAATTGTACATGTAATTTTTTCTGAATCTTGTCAAAAATGCCTTTCACCAGAACCACTATTTACAGATACAGGTTATGTATATGGTCCACATCCCTGTATGCCTTTAGTCATTCTTTTAATTGTTTTAGTTGCTTCATGTCTTTCTCTGTATTGTATGATGTGTAAAAGCCGTCTCTTATCACCTGCTATGTGAAAAGTCTTTCTTTAATAATTGAATTGCTATTTAGCTATTATCAGCACTGATTTTTACCTTGATTTTTTACGTTTTCTGAACAGCTCTGTATAAAAATTATTATACAAAGGAAGTGTTTTGCTGTTTATGTATAGATTTTATTTTTGGTGTCTTTTGCTATAAGGTGCTTTGGTACTTGAAAAACAATTTCAAAGTATAGCAACTAACAATAGTGTTCTCTCCCTTACAGATTGTACAATTCATTGTTACCTTGGTGCAGAATAACCAACTAGTGAGCCTAAAACGCAAGAGGTAAATATGGTCTTGAAAACTTTCTGTCCACTTGATAAACTGACAGGCCTTGTTGACTAGTTATCAAAGAGGTGGGTTTGAGATGGTCTTCTTTCTTTACTTTTTCTAATGTAGGCCTCTACTTCTGAATACTAATGGACCTACAAAGTCGAATGTATTTCAGAAAATTGTGAAAGAACCAGCTGACAGTAGCCACCATGTAAGTTTTCTATTGTGAGTACTCTCTGTGCAGGTGGGCAGATGAATCTAATTCATTGTCATATGGAGACTATGACATAGCTGTTACTGAGAAGTTATAGGCTCTGGCTGTTTCCTTTCAGAAGCTAAATATGTTGATAATCACCATTCACTTTCCAACATAAGCATGTCTAGAACAGTTACCTGTGTATTAAATACAGCTTGACATGATCCTGCTGAAAGCACTTCGCTTTTAAGAATGGTGCTGTTAGAAATAGCACAAATAATGTTGCATTGTTATCTCTGGGAATGTGGCATCCCTGACCCCATAAAGAGACAAGGGTCCAGTGTGTTGCTCTGCAAGGAAGCATCCAACCCAGCAAAATCATGTCATGTTCCTGTTACATTTGAATGAGTCACTCCACTGAAAGTTGTTTTCTGCTGTCCAAATAATGATTGGTGAGGAAATCATTAAAACAAGTGCTGTAGTATGGCACTAGAGTTAGTAGCTGTATAACAAAGTACTGTTTAAACAGCAGTCACTGTTTTAATATTTTTAGTTCTGTTATCTGACATTGCTAGTATAATTTTATTTCTATGCTTGTAGTATTTACCTAATTCTTTTTCCTATAGCTGTTATTCTCCAGTTGTTTATTTACTTGTATGGCTTTTCTATTAAACATAGATCTGTACAAACAGCTTGTAATCTCCAAGGTGTAGGAAAGCTCTTAGACTTCATTAGATGTGAAGCATTGTAAGATAGTGATAACTGTCAAAATGCTGAAGCTCATCATCCCTCTGTGCCCTGACTCTTTTAAAAATAATTCTCAGGTACCTCTCAACAGAAATGAGGGCTTAAAACAAAGGGAACAGATTTCAGATGACATTGTTATTTATGATGTCACTGAGGATGTGGGTGAGGAAGAACATCCCATGGCTGATGAAGAAAATCTTCCTGTTACACCAGAAACAAGTGAAGATACCACTTCAGATTCTTCCAAGTAAGAAGTCTCAAGAAGTGTATATTAATAAATGGCTTTCAGTGTTGTATAATATGCAGTAATTCAGATATCTTAAGAGATCTGAAGTCTTCCTGCCTTTTGGTTATGTGTACAGACAGGAATTATTTCCCTTGTTTTTACAGGTTTTTGTGGAGAATGGTTGTCAGGTTTTAGTGTGGTCTTTGCTTTAAGCCAATTAATTTCAGGGTTCTGGATTTTTTACAGTCCCAGTTACTTTTTGTGATTATTTTCCTTCCTGACTGTATTCCAATACTACAGAAGTTGTCCATCTTTCAGCTGCAAGCAAGTTGAAACTTGGTCCAGGGATTTAGATGCAACTCTCTTGAGTTGCATTGGATTCATAGGGCCTGTACTCTGCCTCAAGGGAAAAAACTCATTATTTGTAGCTTGCACTTTAACTGGCATCATTGTTTAACTGTGTTTAACTGGCACTCAGCTGATGCTTGCCAGTCTCTGATAGAAAAGCTTCATGAGAAAAAGGCTGTGGTAGAGAGACAAGATAACTTAACAGCTTCATAAGGGCTAAGAACCACAACAGAGATGAAAGCAAATCAGTTGAGGCTTGCTCTTGGTTTTCAGGTTTTGTTCCTGGTATGTATAATAAGGTTAAATACAAACCTGTAGACTGGGATGCTTCATTATGGGTGCTCCAGAATTGATACTGTTTAACAGGAAATACACCAAATATATGCTGTCTGTCTGCTTTGATGACCTTGTACATACTTCACATTTATATACAAGCTTATAGTTGTTCTAATGACAAAAGTGATGGTGTTCCTATAGCTCTTTAACTATTAGTTGGTTATTGTGGTCTGGCACAACACTGTCTGCTAACTGAGCTGCATTAATTGTATTGATCGTTACAGAACTGTATCAATGGAAAATAGGTATTTTGATTATCTTGCTGTATTTAGTATTAAAAAGTAGAAAATTTTAATTGCTGCTAGTAGCTTGACTAAAGTGAGAGATAACTAAACCTGTGGAAGAATACCAATTTAAATGTGTATGAAATGTTGTAATTAATTTATCTCACATTACAGCTGTAGCTGTAGCTACCACTCTCCTGATATTGTAATTGTGGAAGATGATAATGAAGATGAATATGCCCCTGTAATTCAAGGGGATAAAAGCACTGAATCAGTTGCTGTCCCAGGTAATGATCCAGTCAGCCCTGCCAGTGACAGCACAAACCCACTCATGTCAAGTGCTGTACAGCTGAATAACCAGTCAACTTTAACTGCAGAAGACCCAGTCTCTGTGATGGATTCCATACTCAATGAAAATGGAGTAATTTCACAGAATATAAATCTTCTTGGAAAGTGAGTAGTCTAGCCTTTTGTTTTTTCAAGTATTAGAACTGATTTTTTGATTGAAGCAAAAAGAATTGAATAGCAGTTTCTACTTAGAACTTTAAACTTGCAGGCCACTGTTATTCCAGCCAGTTTCTGAAGATCCTTCTATTTTAAGTATTGTATGATGCAACCTGTGATTTTCACTGTTAGGTGAGTGAGTTGAGATGTTTAATTTGGCAGTGTAATGTTGTGGAGGTGGTGTAAACTGTCAGGATTTATTTTTGTCACTCCTGCAGGTGGATTAGACCTATTAGGGCTATGTGGATGCAAGAATTGCATCTCTGCTAATGTCACATAATACTGTTATGTTGATGTGATTCCTGTGATACCTATTCTAGAGCACCTGTCTGCTGACTTGGGCTCTCCTCTAAAGAGGCTAAAAGGTCTTCAGTTTTTTTCCAGAGGTCATTTCTTGTGAAAGACTTAGTTCATTCTAGTTCTGGTGAAGATTTTTAGATGCATGTAGCACACCTGTGTAAAGTTTACTTAAGGATTTCTCTTTATTAAGGGATATGGCAATAAAATACTGTTTGCCTTCTAGAGTTGAACTTCTGGATTATCTGGACAGTATCGACTGCAGTTTAGAGGACTTCCAGGCTATGTTGTCAGGACGACAGTTCAGCATAGATCCAGATCTCCTGGTTGATGTAATTTTGACTTAATTTTAAGTATTTTCATAATAGGCTATAGAAAACATTTGTGTGTGTTGTTGCTGTTTAATATTGATTTAAGTCACAAATGATCTTTTTTTCCTTCCCTTTACAAAGCAAAGTACAAATTTTTATGAGATGCTGGAGCACTGGTGGAAGTCTTAATGCTACACCACTGCTCAAGTGAATGCTTAAGTTTGTTACTGAACAGTGGCTTTCTTAATGAAATAATGCTTATATTTGTTGTGATGTGAATTTAGATGTCGATTAATACTCTTGCTTTGAAATAACATGGCACATCATCTGTGGTCTTCTCAATGAACTGGGGTTAAAAAGAATCTACCTCCATGTAGCAAGGCCATGTTGCTGGCTGGTGGCAGGGTGTTGTCTGCCATGACTCACGTATCACCTCTCTGAGGTGCTTCTCCCTGTTCATTTGTTCCTTAATCCTAACTTGGGCCAGTGCATGAGGTTAATGGGTCCTGGTGACATGTTGAACCTGCTGGAGTGCCTGTTGTCCCCTCTTCCATTTCACTGAAATCCTTCTTAAAAGTACCTCTGCTCTGCACTTACTGATGACTCCTTCCGGCTTGGTGTCACTTGCAACTTAAGTTCATCCATTTTGTAGGCAGGATTATCCATGCAGCAGTGTCAGAAGCAACTGGTAATTTAAGACTGCAGCTAACCGTGTTAGATGTCATACAGTTCTTTTGTGATCAGGGTTCATGGAATTCAAAACCATTGTTTTTTTTTCAAAACCAAAGCTAGATTTTCTTTGTAAAAGCAGTGATTACCTGTAAATAGACTCCAGTCCTCATAGAGGGTAGAATAAGTTCAGGGGTTATTCTCACACATGCAGAAGCAATGGTCTTGTATTCTTAATAGCAACACTGAGATACCTAAAACTTGATGTCTTTTGTCTTACTCAGCTTTTTACAAGTTCTGTGCAGATGAATCCCACAGATCATGATCATATCACTAATACCAAAGTAAGTCTTAAATCCATTGCTCAACATACGCAGTAGTGAGAGATGCAAAATTCACTCATCTTTTGCTGTTTTCTTTACTGGAATCATGGCACTTCATGCTCTGGCTTTTAAGACTTGCATGGGAATAGGAATACTGCAGCTGAGTTCATCCTCTTGGGCTTTAAACAGCAAAGGAAAAAGTACCCCAATTAATTAGTAGTGTCCTTTAAAACTTGTATTACCTCCACATTATACCAGTCTCTTGACTTTCGTTGTCCCCTGATTTTTTTACTAGCAAACATTGTATGCACTTCTGTCAGAATGCTTTCATCTGTATTGTCTGATGGGAAAAGAAATACAGCAATAAGCAGTGGAGCAAAGATGTAGAACTTTGAATTTTTCCAGTTCATTTAAAGCATTAATTTTGGTTCTTGCTTTGTAGCCTGTGTTTCCATTTCATGTTTTCTTAGCCAAGGTGTGTTAGTGTGGGTAATACTAACTATTCCACTGCATCTTATCACAAAAAAAATACTTTTTATAGTAGTTGTTCAGCTGTTTTCCAGTGGCATTGGAACAGGCTTTAAACATGTATTTTAAGAGTTTGCTTTTCTTCCCAGACGGAGACAAAGGGAAAAGAAACTAACAAGAATAATGCCGGTCCAGCAGCTTCCCAGGAAATGCAAGGTACTAAGCCCAGATCAGCTTAGTTGTAGTGATCTACTGAAACACTTCAACTGTTGAACATTACTCTAAAAGCCATCTCAGTTATTTGCTCTTTATCTGGTTTTATGTTATGCTGATAAATAACCAAAACACAATACTTAGTATATTTGCTTTTTAGATTTTTGTCTCTGCACTAGAGGCAGAGAAACTGATATTTTGCAGGTGAATCTGCACAAATAATGTTATACATGAACATAATTCTTTAAAAACACAAACATCTATCTTTTTTTTATTAATTACTCTTTAAATAAGTACTGTAGGATGGATTTTGTTTTTTCCTTCTGCATGTAGAAAGGTACATGAATTGATATTCTGGGCATTTTTTCCTCCATAGATAAGCAGCTGATACACTACACTGCGTTTCCACTCCTTGCATTCCTCGATGGGAACCCAGGCTCTGCTGTTGAGAGTGGGAGCTTCACAGCTGAAACTCCTTCCACTGCTGAAGGGGACGAGCTCCTGGAGAGCAGCCTGGATCCCCAGCCCACCCAGAGCAAACTGGTGCGTCTGGAGCCACTGACAGAGGCAGAGGCGAGCGAAGCCACGCTGTTCTACCTGTGTGAACTTGCCCCAGCACCCATGGACACAGACATGTCCTTCTTGGATAACTGATGTGAGAGAGGCTCTGTATATAGCCATGAAGATGAACTATTTATTTAGAATATTGTTTGAGAGTTTTTTTGTAAATCACTGTTTTATGTAACCAGGTATGTGGAATCTGAAGTACCTTTCCTATCTTATACAAGCAATTGTTTAGCTATGGAGTTAGACAAACCACCAGGCACAGCTGGCACTGCTGAGCCAGGCTGCTGCTGCACTGCTGTGAACACTTGGTGTTGCACACATTGCTTGTACTGCAGGTAACCAACACTTGTCAATAGTGAGCTTTGGTTTATGGTTTCTTATACTTCTTGTCTTACCTATGATGACATAAACTAGTAGTGTATGGTTAGGGAACACTGACTTTCTGTATTTTGGGATTTTTATTTTTTACATTTTGTTTTAACACACATGAGGCTTTTTTGGGGTGGGGGGACCAGGACCTAATGTAGGCTTATTTTTCCCTGCTTCAACTGGGAACAAAGTGCCTGTACCTTGCTGAATCTTGGTTCTGCCTTACTTTCACTTCAGTGGAAGTGCTTACACATAGCACAAACTGGGGAAAAGTTCTTGACAGCTGCCAGGCCCCATGACTGCATGAGTACTTTCACCTTGGACCATCTATGCTGACAAAATAAATGTTACTTAAGTGTGGTATCTGTCAAGAGTTTCTCTCTTATTCTGTGTGCCAGGTGGTTATGGAGTTAATAGCCTCATTTTCCTGTCACAGTAGCTGTGCAAGGTCTAATGTGCACCTGGAAAATAGTTCCATTATCTCCAGCCTGAAGGGTTTATTGATAAGCCTCCAAAACAAGTGTCTAATGCAGCAAACTGTTTTCCAGTAGTAGCACACAAAAGGGTGTTGTTCTCTCTTGGAGTTGTTACTGAGAGCTGTGGCAGAGCCCCATCACTTTCCTTCCAGTGGAGGAGCCCTACCCCTCCGAGGTGTGTGTCCACTGCTGCACTCATGGAAGCCCCAGGTGCTGCAGTGAGTTTGTGTACTTGTGCTACAGAGCCAGAGGTGCTCCTGCCCCATTGGGGGCATGAAACCAAATCATCTCACCCTGAGCTCCTGCTTGCAACATAAACAGTAAGTCAAACTGCAACTGAGAATTAGCCCAAGGGCTCAGCAAGGACAGAAACTGGGTTTCTGTAACTTCATACATGCAACACAAAAACCACATTCCCAACTCTGGCAGTAGATCCAAAATTTCTTTTCAAAAGAGTAATCTGGCCACTTGTACAAGGAGCTGAATCCGTAGACAGAGCAGTCTGCTTATCTTCTGAATTCAGCAACTTGTTCTTTGTTACAGGACTCAGGAACTGCTGTAGTAGAAGTGGTGTTCAGGTGTTTTACCCAAATTTAAACAGGTGCAATTCCATGAGGTGGCAGCAGTTGATGAAGCAGGAATGCAGTTATAGGTGCAAGGCATGTTTGTGTTTGCTGGGACACAAGACAGAACTGTCAGAGGACTTCAGCCAGGGGGGCTACCTGTGACCTGAAAGAGCTGGGGACTCACAGGTGTGCTCTGCAGCACTGTCAGCTTTTCTCAGAACCTGACCGGGCTACAAAGCATCCCCAGAAGAGGGGTGATAAGGTTACACAAACCCTTTCAATAGCCAGATCTGGCAGCAGCATGAGACATCAAAAGCCATGGGACATCTTCATTCAAATTTATTTATTAATAAGGTAACAACATATTCCAAATTATTACAAGCCTTTACTAATCTTTCTATTACTGTCTCAAGTTGGACTTGACAGACTTTAAATGTCAGTGTTCAGGTGCAGAATTAAAATAAAAGCTTAGAGAACAGCAACAGGAAGTCACAGTTACAAACACCATGGAAAGAGATGAGCGTGACATCTGCTGCAGGGTCACTCCCAGTCAGGCTGCTCTAGGCTCAAGTTGTAGCAAGTAACAGAGAAATTATGCAGTTTATGTACTTCAGTTACAAAGCAGCAAACACAAAAGCATTTTAAGATTTCATAACTGCACAGGAACTATGCCTAGATTTCAACTTCCATCTCTGGTAATGAACAACGAGCAAAATACCTAATACAGTAAAAGATTTCAAGATTCAGACCCCCAAATATTTTAAGAAACCCTTCAGTCGAAGCCTCAGTAAACGTAAACCTCCCTCCTTCAGTTACTGTAATTTCAGTGTTCGTTTCTCTCCACTTTTTTTTTTCCAATCACAATACTCTATTCTTCCAAAGGGCTTACACAGCTTTCACCACTCAGCTCCTTGCAAACTCCATGATTGTAGCTTAGCCAAGAAGAAAGTGGCACACAAAACAGCAATAAATTACAGCACAGCTATGCCATTTAAAAAAACAATAATAGTATGTAGATGCACATTGTAAACAGGTGCCTTAAAAACATGCTTCTGAGCATCTGATACCAGGATATTTCTCCCCAGGGTGCCTGTCCCCCTATGTGCAGTGGGACACACTGGACTGGCTCCTCTGCAGCTCCAGGTGCAAGTTTCCCCCTCTCACATCTGTGCTGAAGGTACTGCTGCCCTCGGCATGGGAAAGGTCAGGCTCTTAGTGCCAAAGTGATGCAAGATGTCCAGTGAACCCCAACGTGCTCCACTTTGAGTCTAACAGCACTTACTCAAGGCTTACTTTGGAATCAAGGCAACAGGGATCATCAAAGGCAGCCCCTCCCTTCTACTTTCAAAGCCTGACCTAGCACTGTTTGGTTACTCTAACTAACACTCACGCTTTTTTCCTACAACCGTTTAATACAATTGAGGAGAAAAACCATACTTCCAAAAGTTCTTGATCTTACATCTTCGTGCTCCCAAAGCACTCAAACTAGGAGTTATCCTATGAAAACCATCGTTACCGCAATTACCATTGAGCTCAGCTAGAAAAAGTCATTTAATGAAATGACAAGACATGATTCAAGGTAATCATGCAGGATAAAGCAGGGAATACTACCTGGACATCACACGCACACACACACACGTATTTACACCCGCACTATTACCCAGAATACTGTTTGTTTCAGGGACATGTGGTGCTAGCACAGCCTCCCTCCAGAGCAGCACAGCTCAGTCAAAGTCGCGGTTGGTAAGAACCAGCGGAGCCACCAGAGTCCACACGTACAGCACGATGCCAATCCAGCTGGAAGAGATCTTCACCCACACAGACGGCCACTTGCTGGTCATTGTCTCGTAAGAAGAATCCGGACTGTGAACCAAGGAAAAGGATCATTTACAATTTTTTTTCAATACAACAACATACTTGTGTTCTAAGCCACCCTTCACCACTGTTTTCACAGGAGATCATTGTCAATTCACACCTCAAAGCACCCTCCTTCCAGGCAGTTCACACCAGTCTGCACAAAAACACCACTTGTAAGTTGGTGTCACAGAAGGTGGAAAAAGAGCAGCAGCACAAAGAATACTCAATATGAGAAGCTGCCAAGAAGCAGAAATAATTACAAGGAATCTCTAACAAATCTGCAGAAAAGCAGTAAACAGACAGCACTTAAGAGATACAAAGAATGTATTTTGCTTTGCCAAAAGACACCACCTAGAGAAACTGATCATATTGATGTCATACTGACCCAAGTAGGGCCACAAATCAAATCCACTGCAGGACTATTTATTAAGAGTTATTTCTGAAGGAAGTACCTTTTGGTGTTGTTTTCTTGATACAAACTGTTCTTTGCCAAGTAACTAGAGACCTTAATTAGTATTTTTTAATTCTGAAGAATATCTGATCAAGCTGTTAGCAACAGTTCACACACAGAACTATTTTATTTGTGAGGATAATTTCCTTCCACCAAGCCCTGTCTCAGAATGGCTGTAGTTGGAAGAGACCACTGAAGGTTCTCTAGTCCAGCTCCACTGTTCCTGAGGGAATCACTTGTGTCTCAGTTTGTGCCCTTTGCCTCTGGCCATGTCACTGGGCACGTCCCTGGCCACCACTGAGAAGTCCTGGCTCCATCCTCTTTGCACATCTGCTTCAGGTGTTTCCACACATTGGTGAGATACCTCTTGGTCCTTCTCCAAGATGAACAGTCCCAGTTCTCTCAGCTTCCCCTTATATCACACATGCCCTTCATCATCTTCGTGGCCCTTTGCTGGAGTCTCTCCAGTACATCCATCTCTCATACTGGGAAGTCCCAGAACTGGAGGAGATACTAGCACTGATGAGATGGGAAGAAACACCTCCCCCTTGACCTGTTGATACAACATGTCCTTTTCCTAGCTCTCCATACCAGACATGGGGCATAGTGTTTACTAAATTCTAATTGTTTTATAATTTAAGACTTTATCCTGTTCACTTCAGCAGGATGTATTTCAGCAGTTCAGTGAATGACAAAAATCATCCTAGAAAATATGACAGGTGCTTGTGAACAAGGTTGGCTACAGTTTTCAAATACAGTTCCCTAAATGTTAACAGTAACTTCCCTTGAGAAGGTCCACTCAAGACCTACATTCCAGAACACACAACTTGTGCCTCCTTGTACAGCAAGAGATGGCATCTTGTATGCTCATTATCAGCAAAACATCTAATCAAATGTAAATACCTGTACCAGTTGGTAAGTGTCATCATGATATAGAGTGATGCCAGGAAAAGCATGAAGTGGAAGAAGGAGTAACTGTAAGTAACTCCATCCCTCTCATTATCTATAGCTCGGTGAACATCATCTCCATCATCAAGGGAGCCATCACTCCTGGGCATTCCATCCTCTATCAGTGTTGATTCATCACTGGTCAGCATCAGCTTGTTAACCTGGCTGTTGTTGGATGTCCGGATGCTGGATTTGACAGGAAAGGACATGGTACAGTTACCCAAATAAATATAATATCTAACAATAAGAAGTGATACAATTTTATTTTTTTTTAAAGGAATCTTACCTTGAATAGAGAACGCACAGCAAGAACAAAACAAGTCCTACAATGCCTTGTGCATCCCACCACTGAACTACCTGACCTTGGGCTGGAATGGTGGTGCTGTTGTAACCAATGATGCTCAGCAGACTGGGGTTACAGCGCCTGTCTGTGAGGGAAATTGCATTAGAACTCACATGAAACAAGAACAGGACAAATATTTAATAGCACATTTCCATGCTGAATGCACAGAAATAGAAAGGATCTTCATGACTGTGATAGTCTTGAAGTAAAATCTGAATCTAATTTTAGCCTACTGAACCTCTCCAGAGCAGGGAAATGACAGTATATATGGCATAAAAATCTGTCTCTTCAAGCAGATAAAAGGATTCTGAACTTATATAAGATGATGCATCAACTGCTTTACTATTCCATCTCACATAATTAGATGCAACAAAACAAAATTTCTGCATAATAAACTTCAGAAATTCTACTGCTAGAAAACAACTTTGACAAACACATTCTATAGATGGGGTACCCGAGTCATCCCAGAATTGGAAAACAATGCCAGTAATTCAGTTTTTTATTATGAGTGGTTCCCAACCCACAGCATCCACAGGTAACACTGATGAAGAAACAGCTGAAAGTAGTAGATAATCTTATTCTCCCATAATCACTGCCTGAATTAGATGACTCTTGTATTCCATGACATAAAAGCACAGAAGATTGTCCATAACTAAGATAAAAGCATCAGAGACTCGATTAAAACCACTAAAATAATATCCAGTGATTTATTTTAATCACAGAATTTTTGCACTTATTTTTAGAGATATTCAACTGTTTCCAAACACAATAAACTGACAACATTTATTAATACTTGTTATAAACCTTCAGTTTGGAAAAATATAATCAGTAGCATCTTGGTCACCCAAGAAACATGAAAACTGGTAGAGAGATGAAATTCCTAGACTCCTCAGAGGAGTTGCAGTTACCTACAAAATATAAGTTTTGGAATACTGAAGTTCTGCCAGTAAAGAGCAGAAATTCTTACAAGCCCTATAAGCAGGGGGAAAAGACATTACCTTGGTATTGTGGTTGCAGAGGGGGTGGAACTCAGAGATGTGTGGGCAAGGCCAGGCTGCTATTTTATGCCTCCCACATCATTGCTGGGAGCATGGCTTGGGGGGAGGGGGAAGAAAAGGTGAGCACACCCTGGAAGAAGTGCCACTCTGCTTCCCTCTCCCCCTCAAGAGAGTTTGCCTGGACCAGCCACGCAGACCCTGCCCTCTCTCGCTGCTGCCCATCCCTTCCTATCCCTTAGGAGAGTGGGCTCCTGGCAGCATAGGTAGCTGAGCCCTAACACATGTAAGTAACATTCTATTTCCTGGTTCTAGTGAAAAAGAGGCAGAAGTACAATTTATTGCTGAACCAGTTACCCAAAAAGCTCTGCACTGCTACTACACTTACCTGGCTCATTGGTCATAGCAGACCAAGTCAAATACATTGTGTAAATTGTGATCACCGAAGACTGCAGCAAACCAGATCTTGGCTGAGATTCCTACACAAAGGAGTCACAAAACAGGGAAGTTAGGCAATCAGAAGTTGCAGGCACAATTATACTGTGATAACACAGGAGGCAACAGAATTAAAACGGTACCTGAATCCTTGGCAGAATTGACATTACAGAAGCACCAATGCACAGGAGCATATTAACACTGATGAACGTCTTGTTTTCAGAACAACCTTCTGGATGAGTGTAATAAACATAAAACAAGACAATAGCTACTAGAGACAGCAGATAGTTGACAGCTGTAGCTGAGAGCAGAGCTGTGAAGAAACAAAATGATAGTTAAACTGATTAGTAAGAGACAATTAAGATTGGAATAATACTGCATAATTATCAAGTGTGGTATACAATATACAATGAGAGTTCTGGGCACTAAAATGTAAAAGAAGTTCTCAAATAGCCTGTGAAGTATTACAAAGAAACATGGGAAACCTGAAACCATGCTTGATTTTCCACTGCTCTAACAGCAACCAAGGAGAGCGAGGAGGGAAAAGGAACACAGTTGTACTGCACACACTTTGGCTAAGAGCTTAAAAAAGAAACTGAAGAAATACTTCTCCAACAGAGACTAAAACAAAATCTCATTTCCAAATTACATCTTAGTAAAAAAACTAAATAAAGAAGTTGTCATTGAATGAAGACAGGCCATGCTGTCTTTTGAAACACCTAAATTATCACATCTGAAACACTTCATTAAAATATCATTTCTCCAGTGAGATGACTTGTACTCTCCTCCACTACTCTCGCCTTTCACTCAGCATATACCTTTGAAGAATGACTGACTGCCAACCAGAAAAACAATTGTTTGACATCATTCTACTCAACATGAAGTACTGAGACATTACTTTGTTTTTAATCAGCACAAAAGGGATAACAAAACCTGTGCCTGCAAAAAAATCAAAACAAACAAAAAACCCCAAAACAAACCAACACACACACAAAAAAAGCTGCAGTTGCCACTTCTCTGATAACATGATGCACAGAAAGCTGCACCTGAACATGAGGAAGAGCTCTACTTTGTGTATGACTGCATCCTGGAATAGATTGCCCAGAGAAGTTATAGGGTCTCCCTCACTGGAGATACTCAAGAACCATCTGGACACAATCCTGTGCCATGTGCTCTGGGATGACCCTGCTTGAGCTGAGAGGCTGAATCAGATAAGCTGCTGTGGTCCCTTCCAACCTCACCCATTCTGTGACTGTGTGAAACTCATGCCCTGCTCCCAGGGAATAGATCTTATTACTCAGAGGCTGCTGCATCTCTCCCTGCTTCCTCTTACTTAACTTGACAACAGAAGGACATAAATGGAGCTGAACTACAAATCTGAGAAAATGATACTTATGCATGAAGTAGCCCTTTCAGCACTGGTAAAATGAACTATTCAGTGAGTAACTTATTTAACACAATGCACATTAAATGAAACTTAAAACTTGATTGTAGTACAGTCCCTCCTTACCTGCATACCAGCATCTTGAGTTTCCTTCCTCCATTTTTTCAACCCAAGATTCATTCCAGGAATGGGCAAAGTCAATAAGCAAGACCAGCTGAATAAGAATGAAACAGAATGCTCCAGCCATACCTACATAAAACCACACTAGAAGAGAAGTAATACAAAACCAGTTAAGAACCATAGGTGATTTAACCCCCATCTTACTGTTCCTAAACACAGAGAAGCACTACAGTTACACAGCTACAATTAAAACTGTATGACATCAGCATGCACTTACTTCTTTTAAAACTAAGTATGATTACACCATGATACAGAGGAAGACAATATTCCCTCACCAGTTGTAAATGGTCCCTCAGGTATGAAGAAAGCCCCAACACTAATTGCAAGTGCCGTCGCAAATTTAAAGAACCAGAATCTAAAAGGAAATAAAAAAAAAGAAAGCAACTGCTAAGTCTGGTATAATTCACACATAAAATACATATCTTTAAGAGTTGTTTTTATTTATTTGCTCATTCTTAATTTGCCTCATTTGAAGCAGGATAAAAATTTTATCTGCCCAAGATTTTTGTTTTCCAAAATTATGCTTGAACTGTGCTAGACTGACACAGTTTGACACATTTCCCAGAGGTATCTTACTCATGAATTACAGATTAGGCCAATTGGGAGCTATTTTTTTTCTTCTTAAGAACGTTTTAAACCAGAGCAGTGAGATTACTGAATTGTCTGCATATCAGAAAAATGGGTTAAAAAATCCTTTCCTGCTTTTAATATCAAAGATCTGATTGGTGCCTACAATGACAGTAAAATATGCTGGAGCTCCACACCAGCATATTATTTTTGGTTCGCTTTCTACATGAGTTCAATATACAAACGTCTGGGTTCTTCCCACCCAGCTTCAGATTCTTTAGGCCTACAGCTGATGAGGCTTTATCACTGTTGGAGGTTGGGATTCTTTCTTTTGTACTTATGGAATTTTTTCCCATAAGTTGCTAGGAAACTAACTATTGGGTACTTAAGAAAAAACAAAAGAGTGGCCAAACTCGGGAGAGAGGGAGGCTCCTGCATTTCCTAGCAGGCACCTGTCTTTCAGACAAGCACAAAAAAAACCCCAAACAAATTATTTATCCTGCAGAGAAAAGACACAATCAAGTTCTAAGTCCCTGTTTCAGTGCAATGTCATTGGAATTTTTCTTCCAGTAGAAGATAGGCATTCACAGACCTTCAAAATAGGTCAGATGTTTCCAGAAAGCACACAAGGGAGCATCCTTGACCAAAAATACACCAAACTCATTCCAAATATTAACTGTATAAATATACCCTGCATAGGGAACTTCAAACTGTTATGCCAACAAAACTTTAAGGTGGTGAAGACTATTTTTTCTGATCCCAGTGACAGGCAGCTCAAAAAACAGGCATGATGCCATCTACATGCACTTCAAAACTGAATATAACAGCATAAAGATATGTACCACACGCCCACAATGTCAAACACTTGCCAATTTTTCAAGTTTTCTCTCCCTTCCCATTTCTTCCCATACTTTGAAGAAATTCAATCTTTCCTGCTGGCTGTTACAATCAGGTGATGGAGACCAGCAGAACAAGTGCCAGTTGCGTGGAAAGGAACTATGTGAGATGACAGAAGTGTAGAATACAGAACAAAATGAACTAATTCCCTAGGATACAGAGAATTGACTAAATATAGTCTGATTATAACATTTACAGTGCAATACAAACCTCACTAAAACTAGTTTTAGAGTCCACTTTTTTTTTAATCAATGTCATTCTCAATTAAAGAAATAAGAATAGGTTCAAGTTTGTATATAGTTAATCTCTAATTCTAGACTTTTTTAAGGGATCTTAACTCTCTACCCCATACGACAACTGAAAACAAGTCATCTGAAATAACACCTAAAGCTGCTGTGCATTCTGTACAAGCCAGCAACTATCTCACAGATATTACTGGGTTTTTTTCTATCGTTTTCATAAACCCAAGGCAAGAAACCCTTCTGACTGCCATTACAAAAGCAGAGAAGGTAGATATTGGCACTAGATCATATTACTGGGCTTAACTTGCATACAAGCATGAAAAAGTTAGTACACATATATGCAAAAACCTAGTATTTTAAGTATTTCAGACTGTATCTCAAAGTATTAATGAACACATATACAATTTCAAAAATCAAAAGCCATCAAGCCTTTCATAAAGCTCTCTGTAACGTGTATTATTAAAGGAAGGAGTTATTACAGAAGCGTTGAAAGTAATGTTAAATATTTTACCAGCAACAGTTAAATAACGCAATTTTTTCCTTTTATCCTAGTGCTGATGTTAGACTGGCTAAGAAGAGCAAACTGCTTTGGGTTGCATAATCAGTACCTAAATTTGTATTATACACCAAATTGTATTGGAGAGCACAACTCCAAATAAGGTTATCAAGAAGATCCCAAACACTTAAGAACAATTTTAGATGAAAAACATCACACATCATGTAAAATCACCATGTGCCTTTTTCTGAAAAAAAAAAACAAAAACAAAGAGCTCTGATACAGAATGTGGCTGAACCACTTTTTCCTTGCTCTCCTGAACAAAGCAGGGTGGAGGGAAAGGCTGAACTGAGTTACTATTGCTAACTGATCTTAGTGTAGTACTCTCTTTTTCTTTAGACCAAAAAAACCCAAAAGTAAACAAAGCAATGTTCTGCTCAGTCTTATTTTATTTTCCCCTATAGAAAGACTTTGAAGCTTTTTCTCATTTTATGATAGACATGTTTAATCCTACTATACTGAATATAAAATAAAACTTTATAGCTTAGCTGTCCATAGCTTCTATTAAATAGTCACCTTGAAAAAGCAGTAGTCTAAGCAATCACTGTGACCACCAAGATGAGGCACCATAAACAGTTTCAGGCTTTTTAGCATCATGCCCTCTTACAAATATTTACATCGCCTTCATTCAAGGAGCTACATTACACATAAGCAGAGCCTGGATGAAAACTACTGCTTGTGTCAACACATAATAATTCCACTATATTCTTCCATCTGATAATCCCAACTAAAACGAACTACTGAAGAAAATCTACTGGAGAGCTTAGAAACTAGATACGTAACTAATTTCTTTTTGCAGAGGGGCAAATGAAAAGACAGCAGAAAGAGAAAAGATATTCTATCCATCTACATAGACATATATGTGTAACTGCTATAACCTTTAAAAGAAACTGCTCAGAAGAGAACAAAAGGTCTTACAAACTTCAAAGTTAAGAGGAATATAATTCTCAGAGAACAGATGAAGCTCTTAAATCTTTTTATTTCTTGGAAAAAATCTCTGTAAAATAAGACAAAAATGAATGACTAACTCATCTCAGCACTCATTTCTGCACCTTACCCATTGTGCACCGCTGCTCTGGGGTCGTTGCTGCTCTTCACTTTGATCATCAGCAAGGAGAAG